ACGACGCCATGACGACAGGCGCCTAAGGCTAGGCCGCCTGGTGGGCGCCCCCCCCAGCAGGGAAAGGGGCCCGCTAGGGAAACTGGCGGGAGCCAGTGCAAAGTACCGCGGGCGCACGCTGCCAGGGAGCAGCGGCGCCCGAGCGGAAAGGGTGAACCTTTTCCGCCGCCGACAGCCGCGGGAGGCGGTCGGCCGCACCCCGCGCGAGCTCGGTCCGGCGGGGCAAAGGTGCGAGCCCCGCCCAGTCCGAGCGCGCAGGAAGCGCCGGGACAACCGCCTTTGGCGGCGTCCCGCGTGTAGCCCAAGAGGAAGAACACCGCCACGTAGAAGTCGAAGAGACCTGCGCGGCGGTGGCGGGCGCGGGCCCCTCGGCGCCTCGGCCGCGCGCGCGGCGGGGCGGGGAGGGGGGCGAGCGCCGCAAGCTTAGGGCCGAGAAGCTGCAGACGACTGCAATCAGCGGGCGCGATGGGGATAAGAAGGAGCAGGAGGAGGAGGAGGAGGAGGAGGAGGGGGGGGGGAGGAGGAGGGGGAGGGAGGGGGAGGGGGAGGGGGAGGGGGAGGAGGAGGAGGAGGAGGAGGAGGAGGAGGAGGAGGAGGAGGAGGAGGAGGAGGAGGAGGAGGAGGAGGAGGAGGAGGGAGGGAGGAGGAGGAGGAGGAGGAGGAGGAGGAGGAGGAGGAGGAGGAGGAGGAGGAGGAAGAGGAGGAGCAGCACTCGTGGGAACACACACGGAACCACTCTGGGAGCATCGACGTGGAGGCTCGAGCGGAGGGGGGCAGATTTGGAGGCGGCCAGGGGGCCTGAGAAAATAAATCAAGAAGGGAGGATGATGGCAAATTCGTTCAAAATCTGTGTCCGAAGACCCCTCCCTGACTACCTATCAGACCACTTCAACCCAACCCGAAGACCCGAATTTCGTGTTGGGAGGGGGGGGGTACGGGCTTCATATGTGTTTTTTGTGCAATGTTCCCTGGCCCCGCTCCCACTGGAAAATGAGGACACATCGGCTTTCGGATTGGGTTGGGGTGGTTTGGTGGGCGGTGACTCCCAGGGCCGAAACGCACTCGTCTGCAGAGCTGCGTCCTGCTGTGGCGACGAGGACCCCCCCGAAGGCCAACTGCCCCTTTCTCGAAACGCCCTCTTCTGAGAGGCTCCACCGGAAGGGTGCAGATCGGGCGGAACCCTCCAACGCCCTGCTGGGAGACCGCACGCACGACAGCTGGGGTAGCTGCGGTGCGTCTTCCGCGGATCTGCCGCTCATGCCGCACCTCGAAGCGGGGCAAACAGTCATCGGAAACCTCAGGGGGTGACGGGCTCGGACAGCCCCCCGTGGTAAGGCTTCAGGGTGTTCGCAGGCAACACCCCCAGGTAGCCCCGGCTAGCCTCAACAGGCCCCCCGATTAGTCACAGCATGGTCCCGCCTCCAGCGGCGCTCCTGGGGCGCTCCGCGTTCCGGGATTGGGATGTTGAGTCCACCCTTGGCTACTTAGGGTGCCTGTGGGGGGCCAGCCGGAACTGCTCGGGAGGCCTGTCGACGCAAGCTGGGGCTACCTGGGGGGTGTTGTCTGCGCGCAACCCGAAGCCTATCCAAGTTCAAGCGTATCCCGTCCCAGTGGTACCAGAGCGGACGGGGGTCGAATAATGTCTCCGCATAGCCGATGCATCGGCGATGCGGTGCCACCTGGACATCAGGAGTACAATTTGCTCTGTCTGGGCGTCGCCAGTGCACCCGCGACACAAACCACCGAGGTTTTTAGTTGTGTGTGTTTTTGTTGTGATGTGTGTATATATATATATATATTATATTATATATATATATATATATATATATAGATGTACAAACGTCGACCCCAAAACATATGAACCCGTTTCCCAGGGGCCGGTTTTTCATTCCAAATCGTTTTTGCTGACGGTCCCAAGGCCTGGTAGGGACCCCTGGAGGCCGGAAGTGGTGAAAACCTCCCGTCGTGATTTTTGTCCCAACCATCCTGTGGTGTTGAATCCTCGCTTTGTAGAAACAACGCCCCGCGTCTCACTCACTCACTCCTCCCCCTCCCCTCCCCCATCCTCTTCCGCACCGCGCCCACTTCGGCGCGCCCCTCGCGCGCTTCGTGGCCCCATAGGGAGCTCCACCTAAGGCCCCATACGGAAAGTTCGCATGGCGGCCTCGGGCAATGTCGGAACACCCTCACACGTTTCGTGGCCCTATAGGGAGCTCCAACTGAGGCGCCAGAAGGAAAGGTTGCACGGCGGCCCCGCCTCATTTCGGCACACCCTTCACACGCTTCGTGGCCCCATAATAAGGAGCTCCACCTAAGGCCCCCGACGGAAAGGTTGCATGGCGGCCTCGGGCCATTCCGGCACACCCCTCACACGTTTCGTAGCCCCACAAGGAGCTCCCCCGACGGCCCCAGAGGAAAGGTTGCGTGGCGGCCTCGGGCCATTTCGGCACGCCCCTCGCACGTTTCGTGGCCCCGTAGGGAGCTCCACTTAAGGCCCCAGAGGGAAAGGTTGCATGGCGGCCTCGGGCCATGTCGGCGCACCCCTCGCGAGGATCGTGGCCCCGTAGGGAGCTACACCTAAGGCCCCAGAAGGAAAGTTCGCATGGCGGGCGCCCTTCACACGCTTCGTGGCCCCATAATAAGGAGCCCCACCGAAGGCCCCAATGGCAGGGTTCGCATGGCGGCCTGGGGCCATTTCGGCACACCCCTCACGGAGATCGTGGCCCCACAGGGAGCTCCACCGAAAGCGCCACTGGCAGGTTTCGCATGGCGGCCTCGGGCCACGCGAGGATCGTGGCCCCGTACGAGCTCCACCGAAGGCGCCAGTGGCAGTCTCCTTCATGGTTATCAGAGCCCTGTCCTGCTTCTGCTCCTCGGTCAGGGGGGCGGCGTCCTCGTCGTCGTCGGCGCCCGCGAAGACGGCCACGAACGTGTCCCTGAGCATGTCGGGCTCCGGCGGGAAGCCGTGGCCACATAGGGAGCGCGGGCAAAGATGATATTCACAGTTGTGGTATTCACAACTGCGTATGGTTGGGTCCTTTGCCACGCTAATCTCTCAGCGCGAGGGGGTCTGGGGATGCGACGCGATCCTCCGAACCCCCACATGCTCCGGCCCCATTCGAGACCCACGACGGCAAGCTCTTTCGCAGCACGAGGCGCTCATCTTCCCAGTGGCGATGAGTCTGCCCTTCAAGGCCGAACATAATTCCCGTTCTCATCATGATGCAGCTCCTCCTCGCGCCTCTCTCCCTCTCGCCGAGGAGCAAGCGGCGGCGTAAACGTAAGCTTTCGGATATCAGCGCGAATGGATTCTTGGATCGGCGCTGGACCGCCCCTGGCGCGCGGAGTGCGCCAGCGGCGAAGCCGGAGGCGCCACCAGGAGGGTCCAACGCAGATCCGAGAACAATCCGCGCAGACCTGCGACAGTTCATGGTGTTGCAATTATGTCTTCTCCGTTTCTCCTCTGTGTCTCCTTCCTCCTATAAGCCCCTTCTTCTATAAGCCCCTTCCTGTCCCGTGTGGTCAATGAGCTTCCCTCTTCATCCTTCATCCCTGGGAATCCCCTCCCCCCTCGGAGGTCCCGGAGGCCCATCACGGCCACGGCCTCCAGAGGTTCCTGGAGGCCTCTAACAGCCTCCAGAAACGCCCCCTAAGAAGGTCCAAGCGTGATCAAAAACCCAGCTCTTGCTCCTGCTTCTCCCGATCCCGTTCCCCCCTACTGCTCCCCCTCCCCCTCCTTCTCCTTCTCCCCCTCCCCTCGTCGTGCGCCTTGAAGCTTCGCTTCCGTTCTTCGATCTGCATCGCTCCAGTTGTGTTCCTCAGCTGCCTTGAACGCCATTCCACCGTCTACCACCACTCGGGGAGACGAACGACTCGAAGTTTGGAGACTCGCCCTTGCCTGAAGGGGCCGTCAGATCAACGGTGAGATCATACTTAGCCCCCGCAGTTGCGGATAAGAGTGGGGGGTGGCGGCGGAGTCGTCGCCAGTCTGCGAGGCTCGGAAGAAGCCCCTGCAGGCGCAGATTTCTTACACATTGCACAAGGAGCCCGCCGCAGGCGCCGAATTTTCGTCAAAGCGGTGTGGTTGAGTCAAGGGTGGGTCGCGGCAGGGTCGCGGGTGGGCGTGTCGTGGCCGAGAACGACGACGACAACTAAAAACCATAAACAACACAATAATCCTTACCGCAGAAACCCACCTCAAGCACGAACCCGGGATGATGTAAGAACATTCGGCCCCTCACTCTGACCTAGACTGAAATTCGGCACGCGTTCCCGCTGCACCAAACTCACGACGAAACTGGATCGTCCAAACTCGTGCCGATATCCTCTCAAGAGCGGCAACCAACCGGAATCAGAGCAAGCTCGAGTCTTACGTTGCCCTGAGAGGAAGCCAAGACGAGGATACATTCGGGTGAGGATAAGTCGAGTCTCTGAGATCCGGCGGCTCTGGAATGCTCGGGCGCCGCGGCCTTCTCAGAGCGTTCTGGAACGCTCTGAAACGGACTCGTCCTCGTCCTAGGCCCGTCCGATTCCCCGACACTAGAAGAGCAACAACCCGCATAATCATAACCTGTCGGAGGTCCGCGCGGTTTTCTCGGACCGGATCGGAGCGAGACTCCCCCTCCCTGGCGCGTGGAGAGCGCCAGGGGCAGCGCCGGAGGCGCCGCGGTCCAACAGCGGTTCAAGAAATCTGCGCGGACCTCCGCAGGTTTCTATTTACTATCCGACTTACACGGTCAACAATAGAAGGACCCCTAACCCTCTGGGAAGGGGCCTGAGTTAGCCCCGGGAGAACAGGTGGCGACCCTGCCCCCGCCAGCCATCGATTCTCCCGAATCGCAGGGAGGCGGGGGGAGGGCTCGGACCTCGCCGAGTGCTCGACGAATTCCGAGCCCTACCCCCGCGCGGGGAACCGTGGATCGGCGAGGGTCGGCTTCGGATCGCGCCGCCACAGGGGGAGCACGGGGCGACGCGTCGGCGCTCCCGCGGCGGCCGGGCGCCTCGCCCTTCCGGCTGGCCCTGAGCCTCGGCCGCGCCCGCGGCCGCGCGGCCGCGGGCCGCACGCGGCCGCTGCGCCCGCTTCTCGCTGCTGCTCCAGCTGCTCCTCGGCTCCGCTCCGCCGTCCCTCCACTGCATCGGGGAAGGACAGACCTCCATTTAGTAGAACGTGGTTTGATGAAAAACGACCTCGGGCCCAAACCTGGCGGGCGCAAGCCTGGAAAAGAACGGCCGCGGCGCCCTCTCGAGAAGCGAGAACGGACAATCCACGAATCGACGTGTCAGGGTAGGAGGTCTGTCCACACCCGACTTCAGGGGGCGACGAGGCCTCCCTGTTTTTTCTACCCTCGAGGCCTGCATGTTTCTCTGAACCCCAATGCGACGGACCACCTCGACCGCATACGCTATGCACGCCAGCGAAGCTGTGCTGCAGCGTGGGGCGGAGGATAGCACGTCGGCCGCCAAGCTGCAGAAACGACAATCTCATGCGCACAATATCACAGCAAACCGTGAATCGACGAAACGACGGGGCCGATCACGACGAGGAGGCGGACCCGGCATTGGGCGACGAGGCCTGTGCACAGCCAGTGGCCCACCCTGTGGCCCAGCAGCCCAGCAGCGGTTTTGCACGCCCCCCCTTGGCCCGGCCAGGGGGGGGAGTGTACGGAATAGGAAGCAGAGGCTCTGGCGCCTCTGCTGTTTGGGCGACGGGGCCCGTGCACTTCCACCGCCCCGGGCCAGGCCCATCCTGCGGCCCAGGAGCAGCGTGCGCGCCCCCTGGCCAGGCCTGGGAGTGTACAGAGAATGGAGGCGCGTACAAAGCACCAAAGACATAGCACAGCATCTGCCGTCCTCTGCGATCTGCTACCCCTTGTATTTTCGTACGCCTGTATATTCAGGGGTTTCTCTGCTGCGACTTTCAAGTCAGCAAGGTAGCAGGACGGCTAGATCAAACCTGTCGCAAGCTAGCGACGCTCAGTGCGCCAGGAATCTTCGCATTCCTCAGAAGCCGTCAGAGCTGAACTGTTTGCCCAACCATTATCGGGGCGCCACTTCGTAGCAGGCCGTGAGTGTGGCATGTGCTGTTAGATATGTGCATGGAGAACTGTGTTTGTAGGACGAACCTTCGGGTGATAGAGAGGTTGTCCAAGGGAAACCACCAAACAACAACTGCGATGATTGTGATGTATGCCTGCGAGACAGCCGCGGGACAACCACATGATCATTGAGGGACCGTTCTTTGCGCGCGTGCCAAGCCTCATGAGGCGCACGTTGAGAGAACATGATGCTACAACGCTACTCCGGAAACTGATATGCCAAGTGAAGGAGAAACCGGGAGGAAGCAGGAGGGAGGGGGGGGCAATGCCTACCTGCAAACAGCCAGGAACGCATCTAAGCCTTCGTCGAGAGCCACCGCTTCGGCCTCGAAGGCGCTGCGACAACTGCACATGTGCGTGCCTCTTGTGCCCACGAGGACCTGTCTCTCGGTGGACAGATCGATGAGAGAGCTGGCTGCAGCACCGCGCTCTGACGTGAAACCGCCGTCGCAGCAGAGAAGAAATCTACTAGTCGGCCCGGCTCGAGCGAGATCACCAGGACACCACGTCCATGATGTACGCGTCTCCAAGACGACGTTGGCAACGTGGTTTGCTACGTTGTTGTACTCCCTGGGCACCATCGGGACACCATCGGGGACACCACAGGGACACCATGGGAACACCATGGGGCACCATGGGGACACCGTCGGGACACCATCGGGGGCACCATTGAGGGACCGTTGGGGCACCATGGGGACACCATCGGGACACCATCGAAGCACCATCGGGAGGAGCAACTGAAGGCACTGCGGTGGCAAATCAATGACGCCATCGCGGCCACCATCTGGACACCATGTGGACACCATCTGGGCACCATCGAGACACCCTGTGGGCACCGCCATGAAACTCTGTTGATCGATCTCACCATCGGTCTCTCAACCAATATGCCAATATCACCATCAATCTGTCTCACTGCCCATTTCACAACCTATACCACTATCTATCGATCTATCGATCTTGCTAACGATTGGTCTCACTATCCAGCGATCTCACTGTGTATGTATCTATCGATCTCACGGCACAACCATCAGGGCACCATCCGGACACCATCTGGACACCTTCGGAATACCATCGGGGCACCTCTGGGACAGCATCGGGACACCATTGGGACACCATCGGAACACCACTGGGCCACCATCGGGCCACCATCGGGAAACCGCCTGGACACCATAGGGACGCCATCGGGACACCATCGGGACACCATCTGGACACCATCGGGACACCATCTGGACACCATCGGAGTACCCCAAAACCACCGCCAACCAACTGGCGGGACACCCCCCCCGAGCCGCGGCCGGCCAACCAGGGGGGAACAGCACCGTTGGGCCCAGTGTGGCCCGATCCACGGTGAGTCCACTCCGCTTGCCAGCCCACGCAGCTTCGCCTCGCCCGCCCACACACTCGACTCGAAGCCAGAACCGATTTCCAGGTGGGGTGTCTCTGTTTCTCTTGGATCGCACCCCCCAACCCCCGATTCTCCCCCAGAGCTTGCATCTCGTGCGTGGGTAGTTCTGCCTTTTGCCCGCCAGACTATACTTCTACTCATTTCTACATGAACACAGCACTAGACTGATACGAAGAACAGGGGTAGAACAATTAGGAAGTAAGCACTTTTCGACCCTCGAGGACTACCCCGCAGAAGCGATCAGACATCACAGATGTGTGCGTAGAATTCTCGAGCTGCTCCTAATTAGACCTTCGACACATTCGGTCCTGGTGCACTCCACGCGCTGAAGGACATGCCGGGCTGGCCCTTGTTGGCAATGCTCAAGAAACATTCAGTGTGGAATCAAAGTCTGGGCCGTCGGCAAATAAATCTGAATCCAAATTGAGCAATCTGCTGAAATCTCACGCGCTCTCAATACGGACTGTCCTCCATGCTAGACGGTAGGTGTCGCCGCAAAACCAAGCTGCGGGGATCTGTACCGGGCGGGCCGCAGGGGCTTTGATCGGTCGCTTCTCTGGCTTCCTCAATATGCACTTTCGAGTGTAGTCCGATGAACACGAGTTGCATATTTTGTCTTGACGCACTGTCGCTTGCCCCTCTCGCTCGCCTCATCAGCGTTCGCTCCCCTCTGGGAAACATCCCCGTGTGTCGGTCTCTGCCGAGTTTTGTTTTGCCTTTTCTTGGATGGCGGACGTTGCAGTGCAGGCAGCGAGAACGCCGCCAGACTAGAGGTTTGAATCTGCCAACGGCCTCCAGCCTCGGCCAGACTCCTCTCATAACCTCTGCAGCGCGTCTCGGTCTAGAGCCCTGAACTGGGCACCAACCTCCAGCAACCCCAATTGTCAAGACTCTGCCGAGCCTGCGTGCGCTGCTACGGCGCTGGGGCACAAATGGTCACGAGATGGGCGAGTGTGTGACCAGCGCTTGCGATCGGGATTTGCGGCCAACTCCACCAGCCAGTGCTACAACCCGAGCTTGGCACCTGTGCGGACTGACGCGGCGTCCAAACGACCTGCCCGACTCACAGCTCTTGACCCACCGGACGCGCATCGGTCATCGCACCTCTGATGTCACCCACCTTTCCGCATCGCGCCCTCATGCCGACACTTCGGAGAAGGGCGACTGCTCCGATCCAGACCGCGAGGCGCGGCTACCTTGGCGCCCTCGGGAAGTGGCCCGGCCCCGAGAAAGATCGACCAGAGCCCTCCAGAGAAGATCGCCCAAGGCCCGGGAGAGATCGACCTGAGAAAGATCGACCAAGAGCCCTGGACCCACCCCGCGGAGATGCCCTCGGGATCCCCCCCCCCTCTCTCTCCGGAGCACATCCCTAGGCCAGCCCAGCCCCACGGCGAGGACGGGAGGCCAACAAGGGCGTGCTGCCCTCGCCGACCTCGCTCCTGCCTGGGCGTCCCCGCTCCCGACGAGCTCCCCCCCTGGGCACCACGTGACGGCCGACATGCCGGGCTTGAAGGCCGGGTCCAGCACGTACACCCTGGATGGCGGGGGGCGAGGGCGTGGAGCACCGTCAACCCGCAGTCACTGAGGCTGCGAGGGCCTTGAGCGCCCACTTCGAGGCTCTTCGATCGGGGAGCGGCCAACGAAAGTTGCCAAGGATGGGCCGAGGAGGCAAGGATGCGAGGGCACCCTTGGGAGCGATGCCCATCCTTCCTAAGCGGGTCGACTGTAGACGGGGGCAGGTGCCGGAGCTGGAATGCCATCCCGGGTAGAGGATCCGCCGACCCCCCGCTTGCCGGGGGTGAAGAGTGTGAAGAGGCGTGTGAGATATTCGACAAGAAACAAAATGAATACTACTCCCCTCTCTCCCCTGGTGGCGTCCGGGAAGTGGCCAACCCCCCTCCGCGTACCGGTTTTTTACACAAGATTCCCGGGAAACGGGTTTTCGCTTTGGTTTTAACGAAATGCTGCTCTCGCTGTAACGCTGGCCTCATTTTCGGGCTACCGCTCGTTCCGAATCGTGCTCCCGCTGCAGCGCTGGCCTCATTTCCGCGCTTCCGCTCGTTCCGAATCGTGCTCCCGCTGCAGCGCTGGCGTCATTATTTCCAGCGCCAAAACCATCGGCAGCGATTACACATTCGGTGCCGATTCGTTTATATTTTGCGCCGCTGAAGGGCCCCCTCCTTTTGGGGCGTCGCCACGCCATGCTATGTCATGCTGCGGGTTAATATTCAACACCACGCTGTGCCGTGTGAAGCAATGCCTTGCTACGACATCTGATTGTGCGAATTGGGAGGAGATCTGCGTCATTCTAGGATGGGATGGAGGGATAGGGAGTCAGATATGACGCGAGTGCGCCTAACTTGACTGCCCCCCCTCCCCCTTTCCCCCTCCCCTGGGATCCAAACTGCCCTTTGGAAGGGGGGGGAGCGTGGGGGGGGGTAAGGGTTTTAAACAAGTCCCCTTGAACCAGGAGTTTTCAAGGATCGCAGATTGAATCTCTCGATTTCTTTTGATGTTTATTTTGACCAGATTCTCTTGTGGCAGATTACAATCGGATTCCTTTTGTGGCGCATTACAATAAGATCCCATTTGAGGAGGATTACAATAGGATTCCTTTTTGTGGAGGATTACAATAGGATTCCTTTTTTTGGTGATTTCAGTAGGATTCCTTTTGAGGAGGATTACACTAGGATTCCTTTTGTGGAGGATTACACTAGGATTCCTTGTGTGGAGGATTACAATAGGATTCCTTTTGTGGCGGTACTTGGGAGCAACCCAGGTGGAGAAAGAAAACGAAAAAAACAAAATCAAGAAAACCAATGAAATTGCGAAAATTGCAGGTTTTCATTGATTTTCAATGGTTTTGCAAAACAAAATTTTACAGCAGTTCCAGCTCTCCGGAGCTGAAACCATATAAAAACACAGCTTTCCAGCTTCCTGGAGCTGAAACCATATAAAAACACAGCTCCCAGCTCGACATGTTGTGTTTTTATATGGTTTCAGCTCCGGAGAGCTGGAAATGCTGTGTTTTTTCCCCACATCCAAAGTGGGGTTCTTGTTCCCCACATCCACAGTGGGGTTCTTGTTTTCTCTGGACACCCCGCGCAGGAACAGGAACACACACACACACCCACTCACACTCACTCGCACTCTCTCATCATCAACCTCATCAGCATCATCGATGATGCTCTCTCACATGCTTAATCACTCACATACTCATCATCATCACTCGCACTCTCTCACACGCTCATGAACATCATCATCATCATCATCATCATCATCGGCATCGGCATCATCCTCATTCAAACATCATCATCGCCACCACCACTCACAATCAATCATCATCCTCTTCACCACTCATCTTCACCACCACTCATCATCCTCATCCTCATCATCGTTGAGTAATTGTGAGGAAGTCTCAGGCGGGAGCCCCCTCCCTATGGGGCCCGCAGATCATGTTGGTAATCCGAGCGGGTCATCGGAATCCTGTAACTGTCGTCACTTTTGGCTCCCCAGGCCTGAAAATGGAGGAAGTCTCAGGCGGGAGCCTCGTCTGTGAGTGAATTGGGAGGAAGTCTCAGGCGGGAGCTCCCTCCCTATGGGGCCCGCAGATCATGTTGGTAATCCGAGCGGGTCATCGGAATCCTGTAACTGTCGTCACTTTTGGGCTCCTCAAGCCTGAATTTGGAGGAAGTCTCAGGCGGGACCTCGTCTGTGAGTAAATTGTGAGGAAGTCTCAGGCGGGAGCCCCCTCCCTATGGGGCCCGCAGATCATGTTGGTAATCCGAGCGGGTCATCGGAATCCTGTAACTGTCGTCACTTTTGAGCTCCCCAGGCCTGAAAATGGAGGAAGTCTCAGGCGGGAACCTCGTCTGTGAGTGAATTGGGAGGAAGTCTCAGGCGGGAGCTCCCTCCCTATGGGGCCCGCAGATCATGTTGGTAATCCGAGCGGGTCATCGGAATCCTGTAACTGTCGTCACTTTTGGGCTCATCAAGCCTGAATTTGGAGGAAGTCTCAGGCGGGAGCCTCGTCTGTGAGTGAATTCAGAGGAAGGCTCAGGCGGGAGCCCCCTCCCTATGGGGCCCGCAGATCATGTTGGTAATCCGAGCGGGTCATCGGAACCTTGTAACTGTCGTCACTTTTGGGCTCGTCAAGCCTGAATTTGGAGGAAGTCTCAGGCGGGAGCCTCGTCTTGAGTGAATTGTGAGGAAGTCTCAGGCGGGAGCCCCCTCCCTATGGGGCCCGCAGATCATGTTGGTAATCCGAGCGGGTCATCGGAACCCTGTAACTGTCGTCACTTTTGGGCTCCTCAAGCCTGAATATGGAGGAAGTCTCAGGCGGTTTTGTCCAGGGCGGAGGCGAAGCAGCTCGCGGCAGAGCTGGGCTTCGTGCTGCCTTCCGCCTGAGCGCGGCTGCGCCTCGCTCGAAGCCCGCGGGGTTGTCCCAACGGCTTGGTCTTGCGCGCCAACGGCTCGCGGGGTTGTCCCGACAGCCTGGCCCGCGGGGTTGTCCCAACGGCTGCGCGACGTGACCAGTAGAGAACGCGCCTGTGCTGGCCGTGGCGGCGACGGCGCCGAGGAACATCGACATGCGCGCTCATGCAACAGGAAGGGGAGGAGGTGGCGGGGCGCGGAACAAACAGGGGGGCGAGGATGGGGACAACGTAAGGAGTGGAAGGGGGGCCCGCGCCAAGGCGACAGGAAATATACGCAGAAGAGACAGCCAGGACGCCTCACCAACCACGAGGACGACGGTGATGGTTTTTTCCAGATTCGCCCAGAGGATTCTTATGTGGGGTTCTTCCGTCGGAGTAATTTTCTCTGGACACCCCGCGCAGGAACAGGAACACACACACACACCCACTCACACTCACTCACACTCTCTCATCATCAACCTCATCATCATCATCGATGATGCTCTCTCACATGCTTAGTCACTCACATACCCATCATCATCATCACTCGCACTCTCTCGCACGCTCACGAACATCATCATCATCATCATCATCATCATCATCGGCATCGGCATCATCCTCATTCAGACATCATCATCGCCACCACCACTCACAATCAATCATCATCCTCTTCACCACTCATCTTCACCACCACTCATCACTTTTGGGCTCTCAAGCCTGAATTTGGAGGAAGTCTCAGGCGGGAGCCTCGTCTGTGAGTGAATTTGAGGAAGGCTCAGGCGGGAGCCCCCTCCCTATGGGGCCCGCAGATCATGTTGGTAATCCGAGCGGGTCATCGGAACCCTGTAACTGTCGTCACTTTTGGGCTCGTCAAGCCTGAATTTGGAGGAAGTCTCAGGCGGGAGCCTCGTCTCTGAGTGAATTGTGAGGAAGTCTCAGGCGGGAGCCCCCTCCCTATGGGGCCCGCAGATCATGTTGGTAATCCGAGCGGGTCATCGGAACCCTGTAACTGTCGTCACTTTTGGGCTCCTCAAGCCTGAATATGGAGGAAGTCTCAGGCGGGAGCCTCGTCTGTGAGTGAACTGCGAGGAAGTCTCAGGCGGGAGCCCCCTCCCTATGGGGCCCGCAGATCATGTTGGTAATCCGAGCGGGTCATCCAAAACCTGTAACTGTCGTTAATTTTGGGTTCTCGCGCTGCCAGAACGCAGTTCCCAGGCCACATTTTGGACGCTCGGCACCAGCACGAGAACTTGCGGCTCGGCTACGGCATGGGCATATACTGGGAGATGCTGGCGAGGTGGATCAACACGCGCGCTCGTCGCGACGCTCGGCGTCTGGGCGTGCCCCTTGTTTTCCTGCAGGCCGTTGACGAGTGCGGCACGATTCAGGGCGAGCCCGACGCGGGTCGGCGCCTCCTGAACGTCCCGAACATGCACAAGACGGGGGACATCCACGGCGTTTTGCCGGCCCACGTCGGCATGGAGGTGCGGTTCACGGCAGCGCAGGAGGAGCTGAAGAAGAAGTTGGGGCTCGTGCAGGAGCAGCGGGCCACCATCGTGTCCTTCGAGTTCCACCACGAGGACGAGCAGCGCTACGAGGAGTGCTCGGCAGGCCAGCTCTTTCGCCCCCGCTTCCTACCGCAGGGAATCTGGCTGCAGGTGCACGGCTTCAAGGAGTCTCCGATCTACCAGGAGGTCGCCGAGGTGCTGCGACAGGGCGCCGAAGGCGCCGACGACGACGGCCAGGCCGAGGCGCGGGCGCGGAGCTTGCTGATGTTCAGGCCCAGCGAAAGGGAGTTCACATGGCAGAGCTCGGGGGCGCACAGCGTGCGCCGCTCGGGGTTCACCCTGACGCACGCGTCCTACCTGACCTCCACGCTGTCGCAGGGCCAGACGCTGCGCAAGGGCGTCACCATCGACTGCGCGAGAGACGAGGACGCTGGCCGCACGGGCATGTCGGACGAGCAGTGGTGGCTGCACCTCTACGTCATGTTCTCCCGCGCCACGTGCATGCGGAACATGCTGATCCTGCGGCCGCCGCCGCGAGAGTTCCTGGAGTGCGGGCCGCCGGCGTCCCTGCGGAAGGCGCTCCTGGAGTTCGACAAGAGAACGGTTTTGTCCAGGGCGGAGGCGAAGCAGCTCGCGGCAGAGCTGGGCTTCGTGCTGCCTTCCGCCTGAGCGCGGCTGCGCCTCGCTCGAAGCCCGCGGGGTTGTCCCAACGGCTTGGTCTTGCGCGCCAACGGCTCGCGGGGTTGTCCCGACAGCCTGGCCCGCGGGGTTGTCCCAACGGCTGCGCGACGTGACCAGTAGAGAACGCGCCTGTGCTGGCCGTGGCGGCGACGGCGCCGAGGAACATCGACATGCGCGCTCATGCAACAGGAAGGGGAGGAGGTGGCGGGGCGCGGAACAAACAGGGGGGCGAGGATGGGGACAACGTAAGGAGTGGAAGGGGGGCCCGCGCCAAGGCGACAGGAAATATACGCAGAAGAGACAGCCAGGACGCCTCACCAACCACGAGGACGACGGTGATGGTTTTTTTTCCAGATTCGCCCAGAGGATTCTTATGCGGGGTTCTTCCGTCGGAGTAATTCTATTTCTCTTTGCTAAACCATTGAAAATCAGGGAAAACCTGCAATGTTAGCAATTTCATTTTTTTGTTCTTTCTTTCGTTCTCCTCCTGGGTTGCTCCCAAGTTCCGCCACAAAAGGAATCCTATTGTAATCCTCCACAAAAGGAATCCTATTGTAATCCTCCTCAAAAGGGAACCCTATTGTAATACTCCACAGAAAAATCCTATTGTAATCTTCCACAAAAGGAATCCGATTGTAATCAACCTGAAAAGGAAAGGGGGAGGAGGATAAGGAGGAGGAGGGGGAGGAGAACGAAGAGTTGGAGAAGAGGACCTCCTTTTCCTCCCTCCGCCCTCCTCCCTGTCCTCCTCCTCCTCCCTGTCCTCCTCCTCCTCCCTCCTCCCTCCTCCCTCCTCCCTGTCCTCCTCCTCCTCCCTGTCCTCCCTGTCCTGCCGCTCTGTGTCGTCGAGAGGGGAATCATGTTCTGGACGCCCCTCTAGAGCAAAGGCGACGGGGGGATCCGAGCAAGGGCTCAGCGGGAAACTACGGAACACCACCTGACACCGCTGGGCACCACAAAACGCCGCAGGACACTGCCGCAAACCGCAGGACACCACAGGACACCGCAGGACACCGCAGCAAACCACAGTACACCGCAGGGCAGCACAGGACTGCACAGAACACCACAGGACAACGCGGGGCACCAAAGGACACCACGGGACGGCACGGCGTTCGAATGATGAAGGCGATCTGGTTTGGGCGCAAGGATTCGCGCGGGCCGCGCTAGCACTGTCAAGGGGTGCCAAGTAAGGAATCTACCTCCGCCAAAAATTGGAACAGAGCGTTGAACCCATCTCGGCCCAGAGATCCTTGCCCCTGTGCCAGATACAGCCGTGCTGATGATGATGGTGGTGGTCGTTGTTAGCCACGTGGTGGTAGCAATGATGGCCCATGTATTGTCGCAGTGCAGGTGATGATGATGATGATGATGATGATGATGATGATGATGATGATGATGATGATTGTGGTGGCGAAGATGGTGGCAGTGGTCGACCAGGGTTCATTGCTGCTGATGCTACTAGCGACGATGACGATGCCAATTCTGATGATGGTATTGTGGAGCTGGTGGGCAGTCGGGTCTTGTTCATGCTGGTGGCGACGGTGGTCTAGGTGCTGGTGGTGATCGCGATGGTGGAAGTCCTGGTTTTTTTTCTGAGGATTGTCATGATCGCCATGATGGTGGTGCTCATAACGGTCTTGGATGTGGCGACGATACTGATGGTTGTGGCCAGTTTGTGGTCGCGATGATGATGGTGTCTGGTGTCGATGATGAATTAAAGCTAATGCAATCGGTCCAACTGGTATTAGAGATAACGCTAATAATGTTGATGGTGGTGGCGACGGCACTCTGGGAGGTGTTGGTGATGGTGGTGGGTGGGTAAGTTGCGAGGCTCGGAGAGAGCACAAAGGTCATGTTGAATCTCATTGAGGAGGAGGGAAGGATGACGGAGTGCGACGTGGGTGAAGACGAGGACGAAGATCAGGAGGAGAAGAAGGAAGGCGGAGTAGGATTAGTAAAAACGCCAAGGGTAATGTTGGGAGAAGGGAGGAGAATGAGTAAGGTTCACAACGGCCGGGCTCAGGGGAAGGATGAGGCTCAGGACCATGATAAGGAGGAGGATAGAAGACCACTTGGATCAGGGGGGCAGAATAGCAGACCAGGAGGAACCGGAGAAGTGTAGCAGACGAGAAGGCACGACGCGTGCCGCATTCATCAATATTTCCATTATCATCTCAACTCGTACCGCAATCACTATGGTGACGGTAGTAATGCTGGCACGCGTGATATTGATTGTGACATCACAGCGGGTTTGACGCGTTGGTAGCCCAGGTCGTAGACGTGATTGTCATAAACGCGATTATTATGATGGTGAGGGTATTGGGCCAGGTATGGTGGCGATGGTGACGGCCGAGGTGTTGGAAGCGCTGCTTCCAGTGGAGTTGAGGCCGGCGGTAGTGATTATGGTCCCGGTGGTTGTGATGACGATGACAAAAATATCATCGGGGTGGGTGGGGTGGTAATTCTTGCGATGGTGACAGTGGCGATGTTGCAGTTTTGTCTGCCCGGCTACTACTGCAGGTAGTCGTGATGATGATGGTGGCGGAAGTGTTTGGCCAGATGGCGTTGGCGGTGATGGCCCAGAGACGGGTTGCAGTGCAGATGATGGGTGTCCAGGCAAATGGTGGCGGTGGCGGGCCAGGTGGCAGCGATGGTGGTGTACTGGCGATGATGACTACATGTGCTAAACGGTTATGTCAGCGTTGTCGACTTCGTGGCCAAGTGGTAATGCTGTGCGCATGGTATTGACGGTGGTCGCTGTGATGGTCCACTTGCCATGCTGCCAAATTGAGTTGTTGCCAGTGGCGGTGATCCAAATGGCGGTGATGACGATGATGACGATAAAGAGTGCTAAGGTGGTGGGCGGGATTAATGTTGCTGGTAGTGATGGCGACGGTATTGGTGCGATGCTGCATGCCCAGCTACTAGTGGAGGTCATCGTGATGATACTGGTGTTAGCTGTTGACTTGGTGGTGTTCGCGGTGATGTCCCAGGGGCTGGTTGCGAGTCGCGCTCTGTGGTGGCCTGTGGTGTCCTGTGGTGGCCTGTGGTGTGTTGTGGTGTCCTGTGGCCCCCCCCCGTCGTTTGTGCTCCAGAGGGGCATCCAAAACAGGATGCCCCTCTCGACGTGACGCATTAGTTGCGCCATCGCAACCCCGCTCTGCGATCATTTTATTGACCTTGCACGTGCAAAGCGTATCCTGTGGCATTCTGTGGTGTCCCTTTGTTTCCTGCGGTGTGCTGCGGTGTCCTGTGGTCTCCTGCGGTGTCCTGAGGTTTACAGCAGTGTCCTGTGGTGGCCTGTCGTGCTCTGTGGTGTCCTGTGGTGTCCTGTGGTGGCCTGTGGTGTGTTGCGGTGTCCTGTGGCCCCCCCCCGTCGTTTGTGCTCCAGAGGGGCATCCAAAACAGGATGCCCCTCTCGACGTGACACATTAGTTGCGTCATCGCAACCCCGCTCTGCGACCATTTTATTGAGCTTGCACATGCAAAGCTGGTGGCCGAATTCATCGTTGGCCGCGGCGGCGGGCTACTGAGCTCCGAAGCGCCCGTCCCGGACGCTCGCCCCGTTGCCTTTTGGCCTCTTGGCGAGCTCGTGATAGGCCTCCCGCTGCGCCCTGGAGGCGTTCGTCAGGAACCTGGCCCTCTCCAGGGAGAAGCAGCGGTTCTTCTCCTGACGGGCGGGGGCGCGCAGGGAGGACGGAGACCGCCCCCGGGCGCTCGCCCAACCAAGCTCGAGTTTCTGTTCTGTTGCCAGAAGGGAGAGCCGGGGTGGGGGCGGTGAGTTGTTGCTTCGCCCGCAAAAAGCCTTGGCCTTCTGGAGGGCAGTCTGCAAGGCGCAGCGCTCCTTGTTCGCCTCGTTCCAAGCGGCCGCCTCACCGCCCCGTTTTCCCTCTGCTCGAGCGGCGCGTGCCTCCCGCTTCGCAGCGTCGCGCTCGTCGCAAGCCTCGCCCAGCAAGCTGTTCAGCTTCTCGCTATTGCTTTTCACCCGGTCGAAAGCCTTGCTGGCGTTCTCGGCCGCGCGCTATGGGGGAGCAGAAAGTTTCGGTGTTGGTCGTTGCGCAGCGGCTAGGGTTAGCGGTGGTCGTTTGTTTACTGCGTGGGGTCATTGCGGTGGTGCCGTTTCCTTGTTTTGTTGGCGTGTTTCGGTGCTGTGATCTCCATTGTTGCCCGTGGAGGCTTGCTCTGCGTTGCTCTGTGCGTGTCTCGTAAGGAGAGGGTGTGTGTTTGTGTGCGTTTGGTATCCCAGCAGCCGTCTGCACGAACACATCGCGGCGCAAGTTGAAGTTTTCTTTTTTTCTTGGCCGCAACCTCCTTCTGGAGCTCCGCCTGCCGCTTCCTCAGGGCTCCGACGGTGTTGCGGGTCTGCTTCAAGGCCAAATCCAATCCTCGCCGAATATGCTCCCTCACCCAGGGCTTCTTGAGCCAATTCTGGATCGAGGCGGCACGTTTACGATCTCGGCAACTGTCCTGCTTAATCTTCCGAGCCTTTTTCGAACTTGCTGGCATGGGGGCAGCGCGTGGCCAACAAAACAACGCAATAATAACAACTTGAGTTTGGTAACCCGGAGCCGGCACGGCTAAGAACGGACAGGGGGGGAGGGATTGACCCGTCAACTATCATCAACACCATCGTCATCCTCATCATGACTATTCTTCTCGTCAGCCTCCTCGTCGATATCATCATCGACATCAACGTGGCCATCGATATCAACATCAGCATCAACATTATCCTAACAACTCCCTCGCATTCCCTCCTCCTCATCATCCTCTGAACATCTTCGGGCGCAGGGAATTCGCCGACCAAGCCTACAGCCTGGTAAAACATACCCCACTACTCAAGAGAATCCGAGACTGTATCCCTTCGTGGATGGCCCGGGCTGCTCGCGAGCATTTGCTTGAACTGGAACTGAGCCAGGCGTAAACACATCACAATCATCATCATCATCATCATCATCATCATCATCATCATCATCATCATCATCATCATCATCATCATCATCATCTGTGCGCGCACCTCACTCCATCTCAACGGTCAATCATGAAACGTCGATATCATGTACGAGCATAATTAATGCAGCGATCACGTTGCAAGTGCTGGTTCCAGGGGACTCGTTTAAAACCTCCACGGGGGGGGGGGGGTGGTGGGGTGTTGGGCGGGGCACTAGCTCGCCAAGGCCAACGCACCCAGGGGCCCCCGGAGCCTCCAACAAGCACAGAGAGGACCCAGACAGAGCGTCAAGACAGTCGAAGAAAGTGCCGAGACGGCCCAGAGTAGCCCCACGACGTCCCAAGATGACTTCAAGACGGTCCACTCAAAAGTGTCCCAAGAGGACCGTCGAGAAGGCCCAAAGAGGCAAATATCGTCCCAGAAAACTTAGCACACTCGCCTGTTTCGTCTTGACAACTTCTAAGACCGAGATCGTCACAACACGGCCGATGAGGCCCACAAGTTGGCCCCAAGACGGCCCCAGGGAACCCCAAGACGGCCCAAGAAAGCTCCAAGAGGGACCTCAGAGAGCCCAAGGGGGGAATACGATCTGATGTTTCGAGCCTTTCCCCCTTACGATACCCCGAGAGCCCCCCCCAGAGGCCCCCGAGGGGCCGCCAAGAGGCAACCAGGACGCCCCCGTCTTCGATGACTTCCACGATCGTCGCAAGCTCTGACTCCTTCTGGGGGTCAGCGGAATGGCGCAAACCTCTTGAACAACTCATCGTTAAAGACATCTCAGGCTGCCGCGGGAGACCTGCCTCGTTGCGCCGCTTCTGCGCGTCGATCACAACGTGTCCGAAGCAATGCGGGGCGGTCTCAGGACAACGCGAAGGGCCATGGAAACACACGAGCCAGCGAGCTACCTACGAGGCGCACAGTGGGGCGGTAGCAGAGGCCTCTACCTACGAGGCGCACAGTGGGGCGGTAGTAGAGGCCTCCTAGATGTGGTTAGAAAATCTACGGGCCCAGAGAATCGCACCGCATCGACGGTGCATCAGCGATGCATCAGCGACGTCGGCGATGCATCTGCGACGCCAGCGCGGATAAACTCGGGCTCCATATCGAGCCGCACTGCCGATGCTTCGGCGATGCGGCGCGATCCTCCGACCCCCAGAATCGAAGGGTCGTGGGAGCTCGAGGTTGACCCGACAGGACCAACCATTACCCCCGATGCGGACCTGAACATGCCCCAGCCAACCTTGGTCAACCCGACAAGCAGAAGCGGATCGCACTCGCGGGGCACCTCCAGCGAATGATCACGAGGTGACCGCGATGCGATGGACGTTATATTAAAACAACGCGACTGCGCGAAGGACCGCATCAGCAAGGGACCACATCACAAATGTTTGCAAGCCATGCTCCTGCCACTGTTGTCGGCGATTCAATCGGAAGTCTTGAAATGAGAAGAACGACCCTCTGAACAAGGACTCCCCGACCGCGGTGTTCACACCTTTCGGTCTTCCATGTGGCTATCTGGGATGTGGGGGGGGCGACGCTTGAATCAGTTCCTCTATATCAGCCTTTCTCTTGCCTACCAATCCCGACGTCACGATATCGTATCAAATCGAAGTACAGGGCTAGGCAAAGATCGCGATCTAGGCAGGAGGCGCTTGGCCTTGCCTGGCCTTCGACAGCTTGCGAATCAACATCTGAATGCTGCTAGCTCCCATGCCTTGCACGTTTGACAGCGGATACGCCGGACGCGTGCCCGACGACTGCCCCAAGGAACTCGAAACTCCGACCCCACAGCCAGATGGACGAAATCGTACAATGCTATTCTCCGAATGATTTAAGGAATCAAGCTCCGTACACTGAGGCTTTTCCCGGCCCTGCTTTGAAATTTGCACTGGAGAGCAGATCCTGGTGGATACGGGACCCTGGTGTATACATTTTTCGTTGTTTCCCCGGGACATCGGGGGAAACAAGTATACACCACACCACCCCAGCGTCGTCCCCGACCCTCAAAAAATCATGGGATTGAAAAACGGCCCGCCACTGGTAATGTATATGTTCCAGTTTCCGGCTATTCTCCGAAATATTCCCACTCAAGAAAGCGACGTGGGATTGCCGGGGGACCCCGGCACACCTCGGACATGCGAGCCACGGCGTCCAGGGTGTGCGAGGCGGGTCGAGCGCTCTCTTCTTTGCGTCTAACAGCCCCGGTCAGTCGGGTGGGGAATGATGTTAGGTCGGGCCTGTCCCCCTACATGGGGATTTTGGACGAAAAATAAAACATGCTCAAAACATGTTCAACATATGCACAACAAGACGGAAAAAGTAATCCCCAGACTATGTTTGGACTATTTTTGAATTTTCCCCCTGTAGAGGGACAACCCCGAATTAAGAATGATGGTTGGCGACCCAGATCCTACCCGCCCCCTCTCTCCGGAGCGACCGTCGGTCCTGACAGTCGTCAGGAATCGAGCGGCTAGTGGCCAGAGCGTTCGGCGGTGTGTCAGATGCACGACGTCGGCGGGCGAAAGTCTGGTCGCCCGCCTCCGAGCGGTGCGGAATGGTGGCGGATCCGCACCCCAGACGCTGCCAAGCGCTCCCAAACACTCCAGGAGCGCACAAGCGCTCCCAAGCGGCCCCAGGCGCTTCCAAACGCTTCAGACGCACCCAGGCGCTCCCAAACGCTCCAGGAACGCCCAAATGCTCCCATGCAGCGCCAACGCCAGACGCTCCCCAGCGCCAACGCCAGCGCTCCCAAATACCTGATATGTCCCCAGGCCCCTCTGGACGCTCCAGGAACACCCAGGCGCTCCTAGGCGGCTACAAGCGCTCCTCAGGCGGCCCAGCGCGCATGCGGGCGCCCCCAAGAGTCTTCAGATGTTCCAGGCGTCTCCACGCGCTCCCAGACGCTCCAGGACCGCCCCAAGCGCTCCCAAGCAGCCCCATGTGTTCCCCAGGCGGCGCTCCGCAGGCGTTGCTAGGCGCTCCCAGACGCTTCAGAAGCGCACGCCAGCGCTCCCAGGCGCTCCCAGACGCCCCCCAGGCGCTCACAAACGCAAGCAATACGCACTCTTTTCCAACAGACCTCATCCACCCCCCCCCCCGCGCGGTGGTGGCGCATCGATGCGCCCGCATACGCGGCGCGTTTGCGGCGCACCCGCAGAGAGAACATCCGCACGCACGCGCGCGTGTCCAGCCGCGCAGCGAGGCGCCACCGCCTTGGGGGTCGAGACCACGGCGCCGCACCGTCGCTCCGCCGGGGGCGACCGCGCGAGCCCTCCGCCGGGTGCGCCCGAGCGCCGTCGGCGCGCGCCTTCGAGGCAGCTGCGCGGCTCCGCGTGCCGACCCCCGCGCGCGAGCAGGAGTTCCGAGACCGGCGCCGGCGCGGCGGCGCGGGCCAGCGCTGCCCCCAGCGCGCGAGGAGGCCGCTCGGCGCCGCGCGCCGCTCCCCCGC